GCTCACAGAGCTGCAATCCACCTGCGAGTCATGCAAAGATGCTCACAGTCGAGAAAAACAACAAAAATATTAAAGTGAAAGGCAGGTTACTCAAGAGAGTATTACTCCTTTTTTCCTTGAAGAGTTTAATCCGTCCCTCACCAAATGAACTTAGCTCATTATGAGAGGTCACTGTCCATTTGCCACTGGATTCTTCGTTTACTTTTTCTAGACAGAGGCAACTCTAGAAGGAAATCTTTTGACTGCCCTGAGCTGCTCACCCTGCACCAGCCTGAGAACTTAGTAGTGAGAGCAAGGATTAGCTACTGACTCCATAAACTTAATTCGAAGTTACAAGAAATCAATCAGAGGAGGGCAATATGCTTTGATATGAATTTAGGTTCTCAGGCACAGAAACGTCTATTGGCATTTATCACGACTTCAATAAATTTGCAACTTAAAAGTGATGAAGTAAAAACCTAATTTTTCTTAAGCATTTGAGTTCAACCTATAAATATTATTCAATTTCTAAATCTATTACATTTCAATGATTATTTTCAGGGGGTCCCTGGAGAAAGACTAAGGGAAGGAATAAACTGGGGGTGGAAATCATGTATGTCATTAATTTTGAGATGCCTATTAGGTGATCATTAATTTTGAGATGTGACCTAAATGGGGAGGTCAGTGACGTGGTCCCAACTGAAGATGTAAGTTTGTACTTGGCCTGGTGAAGGTAATTAAAGCCAGGACTGCCGAGGAGATCTCCAGGGTCAAGTACACAGGACAAGAAGCTGAGACTAAGCCAAAGGGAAGGAAGAAAACCAGAAGTGTGTGGTGTCATGAAAAAGAGCATTCATATAATGCATAGCTTAAAAACTAATTAAACTCTGACAAATTATACTAAATATAACAATAATATAATCTCACAGTAATTAAGATAAGTCATATCTTAATCTAATTAAGGAAAGCTAATAAATTTTGAGTTTGATAGTAATGTAATAAGAATATATACTTTATTGGCTCAGTGGTAGTGCGTTGGTCTGTGGACCAAAAGGTCCTGGGTTCAATTCCGGTCAAGGGCATGTACGTTGGTTGCAGGCACATCCCCGGTGGGGGGTGTGCAGGAGGCGGCTGGTCAATATTTCTCTCTCATCAACGTTTCTGACTATCTCTCTCCCTTCCTCTCTGTAAAAAATCAATAAAATATATTTTTTTTAAAAAGAATATATACTTTAGGACTTTATACATTTTTAGTTTAGCACCTGTGATTTACCATTCAATAATTCAGACACAATAGCCAAAACTCCAGAATAATTCAAGTTGTATAATAGTGAAATCACATCTTAGAACTCTTCTTAATTGCATTTAGAATTCCAAAGCAGGAAGTAAAAAGGTCAGGAAAGACCAATAACCTTTGAGTTTCTATTGCTCATTCCGTTAAGCACTTTAGTTTATCTTATTTAAACTGCATAAGATGCTTTCCAGGTGGGAATTCACATCTCTATTTGTTTCTGGGAAAATTAAGATCAGTTTAAATTCCTTCCTTGCCCAAAGGTCTTAAAGGTTTGAAAAGGCTGTGCTCTACCCCTGCTGAAATGAGACAGTTTATAACGGAGCTGCCTTCATCAGTTTCCACAATTCAGACAGGACATATCAGTGTTCCCACCCTTCCTTGGCCACGGCCCGCCTGCCTCTCTAAAATTCCGATGCCCCACCTGTGATGTGTAATTTTTATGATTCAAACAGTGAACTGTTCCTGTGAAGAAGCCTAAAAGTCCATAAACTTGGTCTAAAACAGCTTCCAAAGGACATGGCATCCATGAAAGAGAAAAATAAAAGAACGAACAGAGGAAGTGCTGAGGAAGAAATTGTTAAAAAAAATAAAAAGAATGTGAAGTGATATGAGAAAATAGCAAGTAAAGTTTCAACACATAATAGAGAACTGAAATGCATAAATGTCACAATATGTATTTATATGCTGTATGAGGCCCCTGGAACCATAAGAAATGCAAAAATTTCAGTTAATAGCTCATTCTCAAATTGCCCACCTTACATATCAAATTGCCCCCCAGTGATATATCATGACTTATTATTATAGCACACAATCTGTATCATGTGTATCTCTTAGATATCCAGATAGGAAAATAAACTGTTCCTATTTGAAACACTGTTAATGTGGAAACCCAAGAATTTTATCAGGGAAATGGGAAGGGGAGGAGCTTAAAGTTAGATAAAACTCCAATCAAGTATCTTCCTTTCTTCCTTTCTTCCTTTCTTCTTTCCTTCCTTCCTCCTTTCTTTTTCCACTTTGACAGGTTACCTCCTGCATGTGCCCTAGACTTGAAGTGAACTCTCAACACTTTGGTGTGGGGGCCTGGCGCTCTAACCACTGAACACAATGGCCAGGGCAAGCATCATCCTTTAAAATCCTTTCAGGTTTTAGGAACACACTGGAGCCTTTGGGAGCCTAGAGGTATTGTCTGGTAAGAGCACCACTTTAACGTCTGTGCAAAGGTTCTATTTAAATGGTTTCTTCTCTTTTATTCTGGCAAATACATGAATTCACACAAAATTTTATTTGAATGGCTTTTCACTTCATAATAATGGTTAATAAGTTAGGGGCTGAGTAAAAGTGCTGGCGATTTTTTTTAAAAGTAAAAATGTTTACTGGAGCAAAAGCTGGTAAACCTTTTATAAATGATCAGGATAAAGCTATCCTATTTTTAATTTTCAAATTAAAATTACAGATGGCTATGTGTACTAAATCATATTTCATAATCTTGAATCTTTGAACAATTCATATTTGCTCTTTGTTTCTGAAATTCTAGCGGATTTTTAATTCAGGCTAAAACCCTAAATTATTTCCAAAGCAATCTGTTGTAGAATAACAAACATCTATACATTAATAAATAAATAAAGCAGCTGCATTTGATAGCCATTTCACAATCTTTTGTTTTCATCCTACCACTTTTAGATTTTACATGTTTTAGGAAGTTGGAATAGAAGTCTAAGCTTCCTAAACTGAATGTAGTGATTTGTAAAGGAGGGGGAGAAAGAGGAAAACAAAACAAAACAGCCTGACAATGATGCAAGAAATGTCCACATTACTGTTATGTAATCCTATCTACTACTACCAGAAGAATTCACTGGAAAATCCATTTAAGCAATGCCTTCACTCCATGCAACTGTGTCTGACCATACCAAGTCTGTCCTGCCAGGAACCTTTCAATCCCGAGTTAGTACAGCCCATTCATTGGATCGTAGTACAGCCCATCCAATCAGATTCTAAGCTCACAGACAGCAGGGGCACCCGTAGTCTGAGATGGGGAAACAAGCCTAGAAATACCTCTGTTCAAAGTCACCAAACTAGTCTGTAGCAGAGCGAGAAGCAGAACACAAATCTCAGAGCCCCAAGCTCTCCAACAATGGCAAGGGCAGTGGCTTGAACAATGTTATTTTTAGAAACTAAAAATCTACCTCCAAATGTGGAATAAAAGCTTTGTCACTTTCAAGGGCAATCACTCTGGCACCACTTTGAAGTAACGCTCTGGTCAGGATCCCAGGACCTAGAATATTAACAGAACGAAAAGGTTATTTACAAAAAACAATTTCTCCCAATATCAAAGAAAGTGGTCGTTTTACAGGTATTGCCTAATTTTAATTCTTACGTCACTCCCAAAGTTGATGTTACACTCCTTACTTACATACAAGGGGCCTGGGGTTAGAGGCAGTCACGGGCTCCAAGCTCACCATAGGTAAGCGGACTTGGCTCTGAATCCATTCTGTCCAAAACTGCAAAACCTGCGCTCCAATCACCCAAGAAGAAAAAAGGGTGTGGAGCCGCCAAACAAAAAAGTTGCCTCCAACCTACCATTGAATCGTGAACTATCCTAAATGGAACTGATTCCTCATGATAGGACACGGAGCTTTAAAAAGTTCTACTTTTTAAGAAGTCTCTAAGTCTAGTGTTCTCAGCATCCTGCTAACGGCCTCTAGATTCACGGAAGGATAAAATAAAAGTCTTGGGAGGAAGAAGATGGCATCCCCTTGGGGAGATGGTGGAATCGACGGGCATGTTCTATCAAACCATTTTTTTTAGGAAGGAAGAGGAATAGAAAGAGAGAGAAAAACATCGATCAGCTGCCTCCTGTACACCTCCCACTGGGGATATGCCCGCAACCAAGGTACATGCCCTTGACTGGAATCGAACCTGGGACCCTTCAGTCCACAGGCCGACGCTCTATCCACTGAGCCAAACCGGTTTTGGCTACCAAACCACTGTGGAACGTGCAGACTGCTCCAGAAACACCCGCAGCTCGGCGAATGCTGACCCCGTGGCAGGGCCTGTGTCCCCCGCGCCCGCGGCGGGCAGTGCAGTCTGCAGAGCCAGGAGCACCCGCGAGCACAGCCCGGGCCGGACTCACCTGGGTTGATCTCCAGGATGAGGTCGCAGCCGTCGTCTCTCAGCAGGAGCCGCGCCACGGTCTCGGCCAGGCTCGGGCTGAGTACGTACCGCTTGGACTCCAGGCGGCTCCTGGGCACCCCGGGGGGCAGGTCTCTGAGGCCCTCCCGGGGCGCCAGCTTCGGCGGGAAACCAGACAAACTGCGGCGGCTCCTCGCCGGGACACCCTTCCATCTCGCCGCCGCTGCTGCCGCCGCTCCGGACCTCCAAAGGCAAAGGCGAGTGGCGCCGGCAAAGGCCGGCAGCGCCAGCCGCGGAGAGAGCCCCGCCATGGGGGCCCACATCCTCACACGCCGGGGTCTGCCCCAATGTCACCCGGAGTCATTACCGCAGCCGCCACCTCCACTCCGGGAGCCCCACGTGCAGGGCTCACCCCACCACCTGACACAGGCCAGGCTGGCTGCAGCCACCACTACCGAACAACCGCGCAGGCGCACACCCTCTCCGGGCTCTTTCCTCACTTCCGCTTTTGGCCAAGCGGACTGACGACGAGACAGACCTTCTAGGCTGCGAACTCTATGGTCGCCCGCCCTCCGCGCGTCCTCTCTAGGCGCTCGCGCTCTATGCTCCGCGGTCGCGGGCGGCCCGGCCGGGAGGGGTGAGCGGAGGGAGGCGGGGCGGGAAAGGCTGAGGTGTCTCCTCCACCCGAGCGAGCGGAGCGGCGGGAGACCCGAGCGAGCCCGGTGACAGCTCGTCGGCCGCCATGTCAGCGAGAGGGGCTGGAGGCAGCCCCGGCGCCCGGCGGTAGACCCCCCCTTTGGCCTCGGATTCCCAGGTGAGGAGAGGGCGAGCGGGATGCAGGGCGCCCGCCGGCGGTTCTCGGGGTGCAGAGCCGCCTGGAACCCCCGGCTCCTCTCGGCGCGGTGCTGGCTGGCTCCTCGGGCTGCTGCGCCGCCCTTGCCCTCGGGGTGAGGTGTAGCCCGGTTCCCCCCTCTCCCTCCGCTCCTTCCCTGCTCCCCTGTTTTCCTCGCGCCCATTTCCCCCTCCCGAGGGGCCCGGCGGCCGGCGCGGTGCCTCCCGGTCCCCGGAGCCTGCGCTGCGGCGCCCGCTCCTCCCCGTCTGCCGCCGCGGCCCCTGCCCGCACCGGGCTGCGCTCCCCCCCGCGTACCTGCCCCCGCCCCCGGCTTGTCCAGAGCCACCTGGTGTCTCCTCCCTCCCTCCCGCGGTATCGCCTTCCTTTTTAAATTTGCGTGTGGAACAGATTGAAAGTTCAGATTGGAAAAAAAAAAAAAATAAGAAGAAGACTTAAAGGCTTAACATGCCCGTCTAAGCTTAAGAAGATGAGGACTTCAGGATGCTTGTGTTGCTCCCCTTGTTGCAAAATAGCCCTCCCGCGGAATGCAATGCAAAAGGCCAGCTAGCTCCCAACACTCTAAAAATAGGATGCTAATGGAAGCGCTGGCCGCCGCTGCACCCGCTGGCTAAGGCTGGGGGACGCGGTGCTCCCGAGTGGCTTCAGTGTGGAAGGATTGCCCTCGGGGCTCTGCCCACTGCCCTCTCCACCGGGAAGGACCTGCAGCCACGCCGGCTGCTGCCAGCTGAAACTATGTGCAGTCCTTGCTGCTGACTGCACGGGGAGTGTGCGTGAGTGACTGAGGCTTGGCATTTGAATGCACAAGGAAAAAGGTATCTGCGGAATGTATCGTCGCATAAATAGAAGCCTGGGGATTATATTCGGCTGGTGAGCATCCAATGGATACATAGCTGACAGTCAACTGTGACCCTGTTGGACTCTGAATTTGTTAGGGCACCATGGAAACTGTCATCCAATCAACTGGTGTGGGAGCTCTAGGGATCCGTACATCTTAATTCCCTGATGGTTTGTGTGTGTGTGTGTGTGTGTGTGTGTGTGTGTGTACTGTATTCCCAGTGACAATGTTCTAGAAGTAACTTTGGCATCCTCTGACTACCGGCATGCCATCCTTTACTGAGCTGTATTCCTTTCTCCCCTTAAAACATATTTTCATAGATTCAGAAACACATTCCTATCTATCAACCCCCCCGCTCGCTGAGCCCTGGAGGCCTAAATATTTTTAAATCAAAGCAGAGTGATGTTTTATTGTAGAGGAAGAAATAGTTCACGCATGGGGATGTGTTGTTGGATTACTCACTTCACAAATACTTTGAGCCCAGCTGGCGTGCTCAGTGGTAAGTGTCAATCTATGAACCAGGAGGTCACGGTTCCATTCCTGGTCAGGGTATCAGCCCGGGTTTTGGGCTCAATCCCTAGTGTGGGGTGTGCAGGAGGCACACGATCCATGATTCTCTCTCATCGTGGATATTTCTATCTCTCTCTCCCTTTTCTTTCCTCTCTGAAATCAATAAACATGTATTTTTTAAAACATGCTTTTTTAAAACTGTGGGTTTAAAATACTTATTTTAAGATGTGCTTTTTAAATGTCATAATGTGTAGACTGAAGGCAGCCTACTCAGCCATAGGGAAACTATTGTAGTTATTTTCTTTAGGTTTTGAGAAAGAGAATTAGGTTATGATGATTATTTCCATTTTTATAGTGTGAATGGCTTGTTTGTGGTTGAAGGTCTTTGAATAATAAAGAGATAGAATCATGTATGTTTTGTTTCTGAGTCCCCGGGTCCTGTACATATCCTTTTCACTTTAAAGACAACCTGATCATCAGCTTTTAAACCCACTTTATTAGGAAAACTTGGTTTGTGTATTTGCATCTTAACTTCCTTAAGAAGTGTGGTTTTTACATCCTGTGCTATTTTTGCCTTTCTGAGGCAGTTTTTCTTTAAAAAGCTATCAGTGCAAAGTGACTCTGCTGATTATTCTTACAGTCTTCTTAAGTTATTTTTATTGCCATCTCAATGTAAGTGGTACACAAGGGGAAATACTGCTTTTTCCTTTGGTTTTTAAATGGCATTTGTAATCGGGAAATGCCAAGTGATCTAGTTTGCTGTTATAATCAAGGCTCTAGGTTTGTGGTCAGCAAACTGCGGCTCGAGAGCCACATGCGGCTCTTTGGCCCCTTGACTGTGGTTCTTCCACAAAATACCACGGCCTGGGCGAGTCTATTTTAAAGAAGTGGCGTTAGAAGAAGTTTAAGTTTAAAAAATGTGGCTCTCCAAAGAAATGTCAATCGTTGTCCTGTTGATATTTGACTCTGTGGACTAATGAGTTTGCCCACCACTGCTCTAGGTCTGCAGTAGTTCTGTTCTTTGGAAAGCCACATAAGCAATTTAAAGTTTCCTATCAAAATAGCGCAGTAAAAAAGAAACAAGTGAAATTAATTTTTACTAGCATCTTATTTCATTCTATATGTATAGTATTTTAATGTCAGATTTTAAAAGTTACTCATGAGATCATTTTACATTCCTCCACTCTAAATCTACAAAGCCCGCTGTGTATTTGAACTCACGGTCTGTCTGAACTCAGACTGGCGACATTTCAGGTGCTCGGTAGCCCTGGGGAGCTGGGACCTCCCCAGGAGCTGTCGCCAGGTTGCTGTGTGCCTCTGGAGTATTAAAACCCCTTTTCCGAAAGTGCTGCCATGTTCAAACAGAAGCTTCTGTGCAGGAGAGAAGCTTCCAAGAAGTCTCTTCCTCTTTGGTGTTGACTGTGTTAACAAAGAGGAGGAGAAACAGGTGCCAGGTGCCTGTCCAGTGAGGGCCAGGAGATGATGGAGCACTCAGTCATCTCCTGGGATGACCTTGTCACATTTATTTCCACCTGCTGTCAACAATGTGTCAGGACGCTCGCTCTCCTAGTCTGGCTACTGTATCTGTCGGTATTCAGGGGAAGTTAAGGACCTACAGGAAGATGGAATTCGTTGTAAACAGGTGGAGTGCCTACTATTGTAGACATATTCTGCATCTGTTTTAGGGATGGCTACGTAAGTTTTGTGAATGCACTTCTCCAAATGATGGTGTTTCTTACCAAGGAAAAGATAGAATATTTTTAGCAAAACGTGGAAAGGAAGCGGATAGGTTTGGGGCTGAAAAACTCTGGAAACCTGTTCAGGTAAGTTTAAAAGGAAATCCGGCAGGTTTTAGAGAAACCTACTGACACGTTGGCAAGGTATGTGCTCTACATTGTTTTTGCAACCACGAGGTGCTGATGTGCACGGAACCTTCCCTGTTTTCAAAGCTGTCATAACGGAAAGATAACGCTGTGGGGGAGGTAACCCAGCACCTCGCTGACCTCAATGGGGATCCGCAGGGACCGGTCATGGGCCTTATCTTGATCTCTGAACTCTAATAAACTTTCCTAAATCTTCCTTTAGCTGCCTGTCTTACACCTACATTTACTGTCCAAACTTATCTGAAGGCCTAATTATTTTTTTTAATATATTTTATTGATTTTTATACAAAGAAGAAGGGAGAGAGATAGAGAGTTAGAAACATCGATGAGAGAGAATCATCGATCAGCTGCCTCTTGCACACCCCCCACTGGGGATGTGCCCGCAACCAAGGTACATGCCCTTGACCGGAATCGAACCCGGGGCCCTTCAGACCCCAAGCCGACGCTCTATCCATTGAGCCAAACCGGTCCCGGCTGAAGGCCTAATTAGATTCAGTGTCATTTAATACAAAAAACGTGCCCCCTCCCCAACCTTTATAAAGAAATTAGGCAAAAAGAAGTTTTGTATGACCTGGTCAGCAAACAAGACTCTTCCCTCGGTAGACTCTAGTCGGGAGAGTTGGCGGTGTGTGGAATATCAAAGGATCAAAGGCAGAAGGGTTGTTGAATGTTGCTTGTTCCATGAGAAGAACAGGTGTGTGATGCAGAATATATTGTTGCCTTTGAATCCACATGGCTACCCATCGATTCCATTGTAGTTGGATAAGAGAATACATTGTGTTTTTGTGTGTGTGTTTTTAAAAATATATATTTTATTGATTTTTTTTTTTTTTTACAGAGAGGAAGAGAGAGGGATAGAGAGTTAGAGACATCGATGAGAGAAAATCATCGATCAGCTGCCTCTTGCACACTGCCCACTGGTCAGCTGCCTCTTGCACACTGCCCACTGGGGATGTGCCCGCAACCAAGGTACATGCCCTTGACCGGAATCGAACCCGGGTCCTTTCAGTCCGCAGGCCTATGCTTTAACCACTGAGCCAAACCGGTTTCGGCGAGAATACATTGTTTTAATCCTACAAAGTAGTCTTTACAATTTTTTAGTTATTTGAGGAAGAATAATTGATAGTCTGTCAATCTTCCGTTTTTGAGTTGTTTTTTAAAGCTCTAATATAATTTGAATGCCCTCTATAAGGATGAAGTTTTTAGTGTGTAGATGTTCACTGACTATGTCTGTGTCTTCAGCCTGTTATGGAGCATTCTCTCCGGTTTGGGGCCTTAAGATTCACATGAACACAGGCTTTCCTTTATTTGGGAATCATTCCCTGAGGGGAAATGACATTTCCTTTAACCAGAGAATACTTTGGGGTTTTATGCATTTGAAATAATTCACTTATCATAGTCTTTTAAGAACTACATCATGACTCAACTATACCTCCATAGATAATAAAAATCATGTCTGAGCCATCCTGAACAAAAGAAATGCATCATTTAAAAATTCTGAATCTTTCAATAGCTTGAGAGTGCTTAAATTTTGAGATTCTTCTCTTGAACATGTTTGGATATGGAAACTTTTTCCCATTGTACCACTCCTCCCTGCCATCCCTGAGGACTTCCTGTTTTCAGCCTCATTAGCCATATAGGAAGGAGAGGGGGGCTGGGGGGGGGAGAGAGAGTCAAGATACTGACAGATCATGATTATTTTTTCTTTTTTTAAAATAAATATTTATTGTTCA